AATTAAGAAAAGTACGTAATTAAATTAATTAATGTAATTAAAGTAAGTAAGTATTAATTAAATTTTAAGTAAATTCAATCATTTGACCTCCCAAGCCCCCCCCCTCTTCTGGTTGCAGGCCTGTCTTAAGAACCCGTTTATTACGAGCACTCGGATTTAACGAGTAAATGTTACGGTCCCTTTGTGCTCGTTATAAACGAGTTCGACTGTATCAGGCAAAAGCGAGCTGTCTAAAACCCATGGTAAAGATATTTCATATCTCCCCGCCAAATTGACTCGAATCGTATTCTCGAAATGATTTAATGTTTCTTCCTTCAACTGAGTTTTTGTTTTGTCTATCTCTGGATCTGTAATTCCTAATTTCCATAAATCATAAATGTTTCTATCCTTCACGAGAAGTGAAGAAATGTAACAAGAAGCCTCGCTTTGGCATACTGCCAACATTTAACTTCCCAATTAAAGTATACCCTAGCCTAGTATGAATCGCACAAGGTCCTTCACAAGTTTTTTTATTCTACCCGTAAATAATTTTCCGGCAATATCTGCCCCTATCAAGAACTTAATTCTTTTATCAAAATTCTTTGCCCAAATCACTTATTTTAATACTATTTAGTTTCCGTAACTCTTTAACCCAGGGGCTGTTTAATATCAGAACAGATTTGTTTTTGACTTAAAGCTTCAAATCTGCAACTCCTATCAATGCTACTTAATTCTACATTATATACATTTTGCATACTTTCTTCAGTTTCGACCCCACCAAAAAGCCTATTTGTTTTATAGCCATATAACTCATACATTGTGCAACATCTTCAGAAGTATAACTTCTCATACTACCAGTATCTATAATTCCACTAATTAACATTTCCTTTTTACCATTATGCACTCTTACAATTAAAGTTTGAAACAATACGTCTGAGAGTTGAATTTGATTATTTAACGTACTTATTTTGTTTTCATGGTTTTCTTCATTCGAAACATTATCGATCTTATTTTTTCGGATTATCAGGACAAAAAATAGAAAAATGTCTATTATTACAAATTAAACATCTAACATACTTTGCTTTGCAAGTATTAGCTCTATGACCCTTTTTTAAACAGACGAAACAAACATTCTTTTTCTTAATTATTTCTTTTTTGGTTTCCAAGGTCATAGATGCTAATTCTCTGCAACTCTCAGATGTATGTGCTTTATCACAAAATATACACATATTCGTATCAAATTTCTTAAACTTATTTATACATTCATTTTCATTCTTATTAGAATTAAACAATTCACATGAAGAAGCAATATGTTTTGGTTCATACTTATTAATATCCTTTTTGCTATTAACATTTTTATCTGAAGAAAATGATTCCTTACTTAATTTTTAGCTACATTCAGATTCAACTTCATTTCGTAAAAATTCTATTAACAAATCTAAATCAGTCTTACCTGACGTATCGGTCGCACAATTCTTTTGCTATTCAAATACCTGTAATAAATCCGTGGGAATAGCTGATTCTACCAAAGGAAATCTGCATATTTATCTTTCGTTAATCCCACTGATTCAAGAGCTCTTAATTGTGTTTGTAGTTTATCATATAATGTAGCTAATTCAACTTTAGATTTATCACTTAACACAAGTTTTAATAAGGTCCCGTATGTAGACTTGCGTGAGAACACTTTCATTTCCAAATCGTGTTTTCAAGTGTTCAGCAGCTTTCGTATAATTTTCTTTTGTTGCTGGAAAACTCTCGATGATTAATCTTGCTTAGGATCCCGCAACAGTGCTTTGTATTAAATACTGGAACTTTTCCCGTTCCTGAATTCTTTCATCATCGTGTATTTTGCTGAATGAAGTCCAGAAATTAAGCCACTGCCTTGGATCACCCGTAAATTTCGGTAGTTCGATGTCAGGTAACTTATACGCCGTAGATGGAGACTTATTTGGTGTATCATAACGAATCGGCGTCGTAGTTTCCGGCTTTCACTTTTGTGGCAGAAAATTTGTCGTAGTATTTCCTCGGAAGCTTCAAATTCATTGCTGGTTCCGTGCATTTTGCGGCTTGCATATCTCGTAGGTTTTGAGTATCTCGTAGCTGCTTACATTTTTTCATTAAAGTATCCAAACTTATTTCTATTTCGATGATATCCGGTGTCTTAGTTCGTATTAATCCTTCTAACTTATTTAAGGCTTTCGTAAAACTTGTCCGTGAAGCCGCTCGTAATTGTTTTGAAGCATCCATGCTTACGTAACTATGGTTTCTTTACTGCGTAGTTAATTTTTTTACGATCCGCTTTGCATCAATTCGATGCACGTCCAGGCAGGGATGCCACTATGTCGTTTAACTCACTTATTATTGTCTAAAGGATGTCCATCGAGGTTCTTAATTAATTAAGCAGATCGTAATTAACAACATTTTATTAACATGAACAACAACAATAGTAAAAGACAGAGCGCCGCATTAAAGCGACCGTATTAATTAGCTCGTACTTATCATCTGATGACGTGGGTGGAAGCGTTACGTAATTCTTTGCGCATGCGCGCGTCTTATATATTCTTTAATTTCTCTTAATTCTCCGCAGCAAGTATTGTATGTCGGAACTGTGCAAATCAAGAACAGTATATGAATAAACACGGGAATTCGAACCCAAGTCTCATCAGTAGGAATCAATTATCAAAGAAGCCATATCGGCTGTAGAACATTTATTATTTAAGTAGTAAAAAACAACAGAAAATTTAATATGCAGTATTATAAATTTCGTTATAATGTAAACGCGCTATATGTCGATTAAAGGAGTTGCTGTGCAGTTTTGACAGTCCTCCATCGCACAATTATGGAGAAAGCGGCGTCTATAACAATACAAGAAAACAGACAAGTAAATAAAATTCGGCGTAATAGAATAAATTCTTATTTTTGTCGCGGTTTTTTTTAAAAATTTCCTCGACAGGAAGACGAACTTTTCCGACGAGAGCAGAGATTAAAATCCTGATTTGTATGTCCATTTTGCTGATACTAATTTTCTTTATTATATTAAAAAAATATTGTGTCATATCATGATTAAAAAAAACTATTTCTGATGGAATAGCACTTGGATTTTAACGACAGAATGAATAAGGCCCTCCTTATTGAAGTTCATAAGACAACTTGGTAGATATTACAAGTCCATTTTAATATTTTAATTCGTGTATGAGCAATTATAATTGACTATTTATATTATACGCTATTTAAGAGCAAATTAAAAAAAAAAAAAGTTTGACAAATCAAACTCAGTTCTTCACTACTTCCAAATAATTTAAAAATATAATTCTTTACATTAAACGGTGTGACGTTTAACAAAATACTTTTTTATAATTGGATGCGGAGAAAGTGTGCATGCATTGTTATAGGTCAGTCTGAAAAATTGTGGCAACATGAATACGATCATAATCACCTAGAATAGCCTTCTAGTAGTTGTTGATACGATGGGGTAGGAGCTAGGACAGTCTTCTTGTCTCCTCCCATCCCTCAGGGATGTTGAATAACTTTCTATATGAACGAAAGACTCGTCTCTCAGAATTTTCTGAGGAAAAGTGAACAGGAAGTTGGAGGTAATGTGCAAGTAAAAAGAACACACTTTCGTCTTTAATTTATTCTCATCTGCAAATATAATAACAANGACGAGAGCAGAGATTAAAATCCTGATTTGTATGTCCATTTTGCTGATACTAATTTTTTTTTATTATATTAAAAAAATATTGTGTCATATCATGATTTAAAAAAAACTATTTCTGATGGAATAGCACTTGGATTTTAACTACAGAATGAATGAGGTCCTCCTTATTGAAGTTCATAAGACAACTTGGTAGATATTACAAGTCCATTTTAATATTTTAATTCGTGTATGAGCAATTATAATTGACTATTTATATTATACGCTATTTAAGAGCAAATTAAAAAAAAAAAAAAAAAAAAGATTGACAGATCAAACTCAGTTCTTCACTACTTCCAAATAATTTAAAAATAGAATTCTTTACATTAAACGGTGTGACGTTTAACAAAATACTTTTTTATAATTGAATTGAATGCGGAGAAAGTGTGCATGCATTGTTATAGTCAGTCTGAAAAAGTGTGGCAACATGAATACGATCATAATCACCTAGAATAGCGTTCTAGTAGTTGTTGATACGATGGGGTAGGAGCTAGGACAGTCTTCTTGTCTCCCCCCATCCCTCAGGGATGTTGAATAACTTTCTATATGAACGAAAGACTCGTCTCTCAGAATTTTCTGAAGAAAAGTGAACAGGAAGTTGGAGGTAATGTGCAAGTAAAAAGAACACACTTTCGTCTTTAATTTATTCTCATCTGCAAATATAATAACAAATAAAAATTAAATAAAAAGACTAGATTTTTTTAAATAATGTAATTATATTTCTTTTCAGGGACGACATTTAAGCAGTAATGTATGATACATTTTAATACGGAAGCGAATACGAGACAAATAAAAATATGTTATATCATGGCAAAAAGAAGCAAATTAAGAAATTATAATTTTATTGGTCTATTTATAAAACTGCTACTTTAAAATAGGTTCTAAAGAATATATTCAGAATCACATGTTATACATATAAATTCCAAATGAAAATATTATAAACATAAACACTACAATTATTTGCAAAACAGCCGACGCATATAATATAAAAATAGAACAATATAGATTAATTAACAAGATAGATTAAGAGTAGATTTTAGCGACACCTGTGCTAATAATCTAACCTGATGCCGACAAAATAAAACTTTTTTTAAAAGTGTTTAATATGCATTCTTCAGCATATGTATATATTATTAGAAATTTCAACACACATGCAATAATTTAAAATTAATACGAAAGTTCTCATGCATACCAAAAAAATATAAGAAATCATTAAAGCGTCCGCCCAATGACCCCCTAAAATGCAGTATTTGATATTAATTAGAAAGCAAAGGAGAACAATGTCTCAAACAGACAATAATATATTTAAAAAGTAGTTGCTGTAGTTGTAGTTCATTTACGTCACACTAGAGATGCACAATGGGCTATTGGCGACGGTAAGGGAAACATCCCTCAGTATGATCCGAAGACATGCCATCACAATTTTGATCCTCTGCAGAGGGGATGGCACCCTCGCTTCGATAGCCCGACGATTTGCACGCGAAGTCGAGCACTTTACGGTAGAACAGTTTAACGAGGACCAATACCACACAACCTCGTTCCCTACGCAGACTGATCCAAATCGTCACCCACCCGCACACTGACAGCAGCCAGTAATGTTTGACTTCGGTGATCTGCTGGGAACCGTGTCGTAACGATCAATCCACTGCGGAACACTTAAAAAGTATGTCAAAAAGAATATTCCTAACCCTTCTCATATCATATTTGCCTCAGCATCAATTTTAGCGACACCTGAGATAATAATCTATAGTGACACGGACGAAATAAAGAAATTCCCGGGATTTCCTCGCTTTTTTTGCTGTACTCCTTGTACTGGTGGCACTTGAGCTGGCTGCACATGAGCTGGTGGCACTTGAGCTGGCTGCACATGAGCTGGTGGCACTTGAGCTGGTGGTGCTTGAATTGGTGGCACTGGAATTACCGGGACAGCAGCTGGGGGTGATTGTGGGGGTGGTGATTGTGGAGGTGGTGATTGTGGTGGTGGTGGTGGGGGACTAACTGAAGGCAGCGGAGGAGATACAGATGGTGTACTAATAACTGGACGCTGTGGGTCAACGGGAGAAGTTGTTGATGGTGGTGGCGAAGGCTGCTTAACTGGCGAGGGATCCAAGACTGCAGGTGACCTTTGAGTAATGATTTCTTCCTGTTCGATAGGAAATGTACGATTCAATGATTCTTGGATCGATCGCCTGAGCTCTGTGCTGCTCTCTTCGATATCAGCGTCCAGTTGGTTCCTGGCTTCTTCGAATGATAAACCCTGTGCCACCCGGTCCATAAATCTTGCTGCCAGGTTGACCATTCTTTCGTTGGCTAGTGAGGTGGCTACATTGCTAGCCTCTTCTATAATGTGTCTCTTTTCCTCATTTCTCCTTCTTTTCTCCTCCTTCTCCTTCTGCAGTCGAAATTCGTGTGCCCTGCGTCTTTCTGCCTTTGAGTAGGCAACGGTGGTCATTCTTCTCCTCTCTGCTGCTTCTCTCTCGTCTCTTTGTCTCCTAACCTAAAATGTATTAAAATATTATGATTTAGATTCAACAACATTCAAAACATATAAAAAATAAACAAGTTGGAACCATTCGTCATCCAAAGATTATGGATTTAAAGCAAAACGTATTAGGATAGAAATAATTTGAGCTTTATTTGTGAAATGACGAGGTAAAAACAAATTTATTCTTTTGCTTCGAATTTACAGTTTTAATTTTAAACTACTTTTAAGTATTCTTTTTTTAAAAAATTTCTTTTCAGATTTTTGCTTTTAAGTAAACAATCATAACCAATGGCTGATGTGAACTTGATCTTGTAAATAAGCATGAAACTTATCTGATTTTCTTTACTTTCAGCTGAATCTTTTTTATCATATTTTTTCCTTCAAAAATTTCTCTATTACTATTGATCACTCTTTTTTAAAGTTTTATTTACAATTTTTGGAATGTCTTTAAACTTTCTTTATTAGTTATTTTTCAAATAAATACGCACATCTTTTAATTTTATTCTGGAAATCAAAAGAAATTTAAAAAAGATTCAATATACTGCTGACACACAAGAAAATAATTTGTTCTTCCATGAAAAAGAATCAAAAGATATAGCTAATCGCAGGTAGAATGTACTATTAAAAAAATTACAAAAGAACAATATATAAGCTCATTCGCACCTAATATTTGTGGAGCTGTTGAACCTTATTTAAATACAATCTGAACCTATTTTAACAATACAATAAGATTTATCTTCTTCTAATTATTGTTTTCAATTCATTAATTATTTTTTTTTACCTTGTATGTTCATAATATTTTGTTAAATTTTACTTTTGGACTTCATACTATGCATACTTGGTTACCCTGCTTAAACAAAATCCTAGGTTTGATAGAAAATTTTTACAAAAAAACTATTCGTTTAATTTTTAAAAGTTTTCTTATAACTTCATTAACTTCTAGATGCTCATTTTTGCTTATTTAATTTAGCCTATTTAAAAGCACTCACTTCTTCAGGTGTCTCCACTCTTTGTGTCTTCCTAGAAGAAAATTATTAAAGTCAAACAATGCACATTATCATTTCTATATTCAATTATATTATGGGCATTTAAGATATTTCAAAATATTTAAGCCAATATATATTCGTAACTGGTACATGTGATAATATGTAAAAAAATGTATTGCATGTAAATTAAGAGAAATTTTTAATAGAAACCTAGCATATGCGGACATTACGGGAAAAAGACACCAATGCTCTGATCTTAATGATCTCGTTCTTAAATGTTCGAAAGCTTAAACTTTTATATTTTATTTTACAAAATCAGAAACATTTGAATAAACACTCGATAAATTTTGATTAAAGACCCTCTTGATAAAAACGGTGTAGCCCTTTAATTACTTTATTTGAGTATCTCAAAAAATTCCATCGACGGATTCTGCTTAAAGTTTAAAATTTAAGTGAATTAAATTGGTGTTATGATTCGTATATCTGACTATTAAATTTTTTAACCATTAATAAATTAAATGATAAAAACTGTTAAAATTAATTTACATGGAATTATCCCTTGAAAATAAAGTTTTATGAATGTGTGCGAAATCCTCAACTCTGCTCTTCAATAATTTGGAATTTGCCCACTTAAAATATTTTTGCTAAAAACAATTTTCACACAAGAAGTTCATTCAAATTATTATAAATTTAAAAAATATTGTAATAGCTTTTACACATCTAATACATTTACATGGTTCTTTATGGTTACATATGGTTCTTACATATAAGTTATGTAATGTTCCTCATATAAAAGCCTACATAAAAGCTGAAGTTTATACATGGTTTTTATATAAAAGTTGGCAAGTATGCGGATATATGTCGATTATTCAAGAAGTGAAATCCTCGGTGTGGTTACGCAAAACACTAATTAACTTTTGGTCTAATAATCTGATTTCATGTACTAGGTGCCAATCATAATTATTTGAAAATTTGAACTTAAATATTCTTAACTATTAATGATGATAAGATGTCAATACAGAAATATATTTTATACCATAAAACTCGCTAATTTCATAAAAAAGAGTACCTAATTCAATTAAATGAAATAAATTAATTTAAGCTAAGATTTTAACAATAATAGATTCAATTTTAACTTTAAAAATACATTTTATTAATTATTTATTACTTTTTATTTAATAAGAATTATAATTAATGTAAGATATGCAAATTTTCACATCATTTTAAAGGAGGGTGCAATTTCGAATGACATAATACAAAATTTGTATGAAATGGGTCCCATAGTTCTTGAAAAATTAAAATTTAATAACATTACTTTAAAATTGCATCAATCAAAAACTATGAATTGATTCCAATGCTGTATTTTCTTATATAAATTTCGCTAGTTACAAATAACGTAAAAATTTGCATACCTTACAATTCTATATTTTTCAGCCTTTTTTAAATTAAAATGTATTTTGGCAAGGTACTTATTATATTGAGGATAAAAGTTTTATAATTCTGAAAATATTCTTTGGTTTACTTAAATTATCGAAATGGTGTCTTAAAAGTGGGACCCAAATTTTTGACAGCTCTTCTGACTAAATCATTTGTACCCTATTTTTCAGATAGTGCCCTTCAGATAGTGCGTACTTTTATGTTCCAAATCAATGAGAAAACCGGTATTTAGAGAACGTCTGCTTGATTTTGTAAATTAGTTAAGACTAATTAGCATATTTGGCACTTCAGAGAAATTTCGATCATTATAACAAAAGTTAAACAAGCCTATATCAATTTCTTTGATTTAAAGTAAATTACTCTGCCTCTATACTTAATAAAATTAAACAACTCTCTCATCGGTGTAAAATCTTCATTCAATGGATTCCCTCTCACATAGGCCTCTTTCGTAATGAAAATGCTGATTTTTTTGGCCAAGCAGGGAGCTTCTGATAGCACAATTTCAAGTCGACCTTCCCTGAGATTTGTTCCAAGATCATAACCAACAACTATGGAACATCCCTCCGGCCCACTCTTGGTATAATGGACACACTCCTGGTGGGCCACTTTACCATAGGGGCTGATAGATCCATACAGTCCACTATAAGTAGGCTCATAAGTGGACACATCAGGTGTCTCTCTTTTGAGCGAAAGACCTATTCAACCTTCACGAAGTCTGCACAGAACTTCTCCCGATCACATTTTACACTCTGTCTCTTGGTCTGGAAAAGAAAGACCTCTACTCCCTTACTTGTATTCGATTTCCTGAAGACTTTCGAGCTCATTGACTTGGTCTCGGCTGACCGAAAGGAATAAGTCAACAACAAAGTAAATTACAAAGCATCTGGTTGTAGAATTCAAAATAAACAATTCCCAGAATTCAGCTATTCATATTCAATTATACATATTTAAATCAAGCAATATACCGATGAAGGAATAATCTATTTTGTTTTTTGCTGCTAAGAAGATATCGTGAAAGACTTCTTTAAAAGTGGACACAGCTCGAAAAGCATGTTAATGAACAGAGCTGGAAATGTTTAGACACGCACTTTAAACTATAAAAATGGACATAGCATTTCATTCTGTATTTCCAACTTCCTTTGTAAAAATTGCTTTTTTCTAAGAATTAAGGACAAAAAAAAAACATTAGGTTAAATTTTAGGTTTAGGCAACAAAAAAAAAGTGGTTGAAAATTTACGTCATTTGAATTTTGAGTTTTAAAACTGAATATTTTTAGTTTAGAGTTTTGAATCACCTAAAAAGTTAACCACGACCCTAAAGTCTGGGACTAGTATCCAGTAATAGTTATGCTTAGAGTTTAAATAAGTAAGGAAAAGTGAGAACCTAATTCTTCTTTTGGTTCTTAATTTCAAAATAAAGTGGAGGATTTTTTTCTTCCTGCCATTTTCGTAAATATTTTGGAATCCGTATAAAAAAAAAGAAAACCAAAATTATGCACATTAGGAATCACAAATTAGTGTCTGAGTGAGAGGAAAAGAACAAAATAGTTATCAAAATCAGACTATTTACAATGAAGGATGGCGGCTGCAATAAATAACAATATAGGTTTGATTGCATGAGAAAATAGAAATGTTGAAAGACGATTATTATAGAGTTTTACCATCAAACTTTGATTTTTATTACACACCGTTTTCGCTACTATAATTTATATATATATATATCGATCGCGTTTTTCTTCACTTAAACATTTATTTGCGACCACCTATAAATATATCCCTTTTTTTCTCAAATTTTCGATAAAGATTCTAAAAATACTTATTAAGGATGGTCTAAACAGAACACCCCTATATATTTTTAATAAAATTGCCACTCAGTAATACAGTAAAAACATTTGAATCAAAATGGGTTCTGTGTTTTTCTGAGCATCATATATCAGAAGATTCAAAACACATACAAAGTATTTAATTAAATTTTAGACCAATTAAGAATGTAATTAACAAAAGAAGCTCAATTCATCTCATCCAAAAGTGCCATTTAATCTCAATTTTTAAACAAAATTAAAAAGCCCAACTCAGTTTATAACACTGATAATAACATCAATCTTTTCGTTGACAGTAATAGCTATGATGAATCACGAAAAAAGCACATCATTAAAGAATCTGGAACGAAAGCAACCGGTAAAAAGTTTCAATCCCCTCCTCCCCCCAAAAAAACAGAATCATTCAATTTTTATGTGAAACATTTTATAAAAGTTTTGACCGTTTAATGAATTTAACGACCAATTAATAGTCAAGACATGACCTTACGATCTCATACATGACTTTTTTTTAAATTTTTGATCTTGTAAGTAAAGCGGTAAATGTTGCTATTCAGTGGGCGAATAGCAAAATTTTTTTTAAATTAATAAATATTATTCTTTATATATGAAAAAGTTGAGTCATTATTAAAAACTTTCGTATTATTGGCATGGGGTAAAAGTAAAAAGAAGTGTCCATTGGAAATATTTAAGATTTATAAAAGACTAAAGGCTATTTCTTTAAAAAAATCTGCAAAATATACATAAAATGTTAGAAGTGGCATAGTCTATCAGAAATTCTTTTTAAAAATGCCGGGCTATAATAAAAACTCCAACAACAAAAAAAGATTATATACAAAAGCAAAACAGAAAAAATAGCAATCAATCTTAATTTTGACAGTAAATCTTATAGCTGGAAATCTCAGTTTTCCAACTACCGTATTTTTTAGAAAAATTGAAAAAAAGAAGAGTAAAGTCTAATAGAAACTCTTAATTAACCACGTCATAATGTCCATAAAAGCAAAAGTTTTTTTCTTTTTTTAAAGAAAAAGCTTGATTAAAACCAAGACAAAAATCATTCTTAGTTTATGAACGAAAAATTTAACGCTATAAATCTCAATTCAATTATTTTCCAACGTCATATTTTTAGAAAAAAGTGTAAATAAAAAAAAATATCGTTCATTAGAAATGCTCTTTAAGAAATATTTCGTCATAATAAATACGCTGAGAAGAAGAAAAGTTAATAAAAAATACAAAAGAGAAACAGAAAATTTTTTACCTTTAGTTCTTAAAATATAGATTAAATTTTGAAAATTGCCGTTATATGTCTTACCGAACAGAAAAAAAGTGATAATAAAGGAATAAGCTACATTAGTAGTCGAATACCGAAACATTTTATCAGCTGTTCAACGACGGTTATTAAATAAAAAGGTAAAGCTTATACTGTACTTACATTTTTTTCCGAGGACCCTCCTGGGAAGATCCAGAAGGGCCGGCTGCTCCAGAACCCGAAGGTCCCCCGGAACCCGAAGGTCCCCCGGAACCCGAAGGTCCCCCAGAACCAGACGGTCCTGCCGCTGCATCACTAGACGATGGTGAGCTTCTCTTCATACTTCTAATCTAAAATTATCAAAAATTATTTTAGTATACACGAAACTTTTAGCATTTAATAAGTAATAAAATAAATTTTTCGCATTATGAAATGGTGATTACAGATAATATCTGGTCAACATTTCCAGTTGATTAATTATTATTTGCATTTCTGAAGTGATTCACATTCAGTTCTTATTAATGGCGATTTCTATTCTTGAGATTTGAACTATCGTTGAGTAATTGAAAAAAAAAAAACGAAGATAGCCGCAGAAAAGTTATATAAATTTATAATTTTTTGCAAAGATCTTGCTTATTATTTGTGTGACCATGAAAAACTATTTGATACAGGACTGTTTTAAGTTACAAATAAACTAAATACAAAACTTACCAGTGAATAAGGGTATATAAATAAGCATTGAAAATAAAATGCGAATACGTGAATATGAATTTCAATAAAAAAATTAATAAATAGCGGGAATAGCTTTTAAATAGAGGGAAACGCAATGTTTGATTATTAAAATTGTATGAATACGAATGATTTTTGGCTTACAAACTTGGATCAAGGTGATTCACGATGTTTAGCATTTTAAGTGCATGAATTGTGAAGTGCAATTTAAAACTCGTAAATGTGAATCACGTTTTATTTTTAACTCACTAATACAGGAA